GTTGCTTTCAGGTACTAGCCGTCTGAAAATCTGATTGAACTTTCAGGTGAAGGTTTACATCTAGGTAAATGTTTAATCTTAACTGCATATCATAGATTGTGTGACTTGTGGGAACCCAACAATGTACCGGTAGTTTAACCAATCTTACACTGTGGAAATAAATAGTTGATGAGGCTCTGGGATACCGGTGTATGAGTGATTCAAAGAGGACACTGGAAAATGTGCCAAATCCCAGGGTCTTCGCCTTGGCATGAAGGCCGGTTCATACTTTGCACGAAAGTCAAAGCAAACGCGATTATGTGACGTCAGATCAAATATTTGCATATTTGCAAAAGTTGAACACATTTCTACTCCAGTGAAACTTTACTGCTAATGTAGGCATAGAGTGGTAGTAGTCAGGTTGCGTTCAGATGTTGCTCACACCCAGTACCTTTTTGTGATCAGTGAGGGAGGTATGCATCCACAGAAGCCTGTATTATGCCAATGATCGTATCATCTTTTGTTCTCTTATGCTTTCCAGAGGATCTGCTAGCATCCAGTAAATCCCCTGAAGACATCGCCTTTCTACAGTCCATAGAGACAGCTCTGAGCATGGCAACACCAACCGAAGAAGAAGAAGTGGAAGAGGAGGAAGACGGAACTGCCAATGATGAAGATGAAGAGCAAGAAGAGACCGACGTACCCCTGCCTCCAAAGAAGACTCCTAAGAAGACCATTCCGGCCAAGACCGCTAACACACCTGCCAAGGCACCCATCTTCACTAAGGTCCGACCGCCGTTTGGCAAGGCGCCGTCTGGACGTAAGGTGCCGGATATTCCTGATCTCCCAATGGTTGTTGCCCAGGTAATGCTTAAGGGTGGATATATCATCAAAGTGTGACACTGGCATCAAACTTTCTCAACCTTCTTTCATCTTACCGTTTGAAATCTTTTTTGGGAATTAGCATGTGGGGGGCTTAAATTGATTAATTAACGTGAGTCAAATTTTAAACATGAGTTTGCTACTTATTTTCCTAACAGTTCTCATCTTTCAAAGTCAGTCAAGAAGCGAACATGCTGTCTAACATTTTCAGTGTGAGTGGAGTATAAGCAACGAAGATGAAATTCCATTCTGTATGCTGTCGGGCAAACATCGTAGAGAGGTTTAACAGATCTCCTTTGAAATGCTTTGGAAATGGGACATGATGTCATTTTTTTGTCTTGATCAAATTTTGTGCTACTTGATAGATTCTGAGAACTTTTTGCAGCTATGGGGAATGCTCCTCAGAGTGAGTAGTTTCCCAGGTTTGGAGTATCTTGGCCATGTCTGATCATCACCTTTGATGAGTCAAGATTGTATGCTTCCTGCACCAGGTTGAACCTGAAGAGCCAGTTCAGGTACCGGTAGATGAACCTGTTGCTAAGAAAGCTGACGCTCTCCCTGCCGTTAAGATTGTCAGCGCCGAAGCACCTGAGACAGAAAACCAACAACCAGCCTTGGTAGATCAGGATGTACCAACTGCCAAACAGATGCCAATCATTGCAGGTAGGCCACTCCCCCTCCCCTCACCCTAAAGGCACCTGTGGTGCTGTTAACAGCCAGCTTTGGAACACGCATCATCTTATCAGGATGTTGCTCTGGATTGACGAGGAGTAATTAAGTTTGGGAGGTCAGACCATGTGTAGAGATGTTTAGAAGAGCTCTGTTCTCTCCAAGTGCTGAATTCTCTGTCTGTCTCTTGACAGTCAAACCTCTGGAGCGTTACCTTGACGACGAGACTGATGCACAGACGGAGCAGCAACAGCCAACTGAGGCAGACGAGCCTGCTGTGCCAGCCAAGACCAGCAAACCTATCCCGATTGCCAAGAAACAGCGGCAGAAAGCTCAGAAATCTGCCGCCAGTCGGATTGACAAAGGTCCTGAGTTCCGACCCAAATCTAGTAACAGCATTGACAACGTAAGTAGGATTATTACTTTGCTAGAATTCAACTTGGTGTTTTAGTTCCTGCACCAAGAAAGTCGTCCAAAACTCATCAGGGTAATTCCAGAAATTAGGGGTCCAATTTTTTTTGATGTCCCTGTCACATCTGACATATGATTTTGTAAGTTCAGAACACATTTTTTAATTTTCGTGGGTGATGAATTAATGCAAATTACCTGCCAAACTAATAATAAATAGTTCGAAATCAATTCCGGTGATATTTGCATGTCCAATAACAAAGGTCAGATGTAACAGGGACACAAAATGGCACACTTCTGGACCCTTAATTTCCGGAATTACCCATCATTAGATTAGACAGCTAATTAATCCTCCTATGCATATATGCATTCAGCAGAAAGTTGTCCCCTTAGTTAGAGCCACTTAAGTGGCTGCTTTGAATAGGTTAGAGTCCTCTGTTTATATGAAGCAGAACTGACTCTCTGTTACTGACTGTGCTTTGACCATTGATGATTAACCACTTCCTGCCGGGTGACCCGTTTTCGAGTACATAGGCTTTATATGCATTGCCGGGGTGCCCGGAACTGGGACAAAAGAGTTGGGCCATGTAACAAAAGACCGTGCTCAGCACAAAAGACTGAACTGCTGGGACTACCAGCATTTTTGCACTCTCAAAAGTGGAGATAATCCAACCTTGTTTTGAAACAGTATAGCACAGTTTGAGGCATTTAGAGTGAGCGGATTACCACCGGGGACAAAAGCTCTCCACCACTGCAGCGATGAGCCACACAGCACTGCTGCACGCTAATCTGGCCCCTATTGAAAAGAGGTCAGCAGTGCACTGTGCCGGTTTCGGGAACAAAAGAATCTTACGTAACACAGCGCAATCTCGGCTCGTTTTCCAAGGCTGCAGGCCTGCCTGAAATATTCAAAAGTTAAGGAAGGTTAACTGTCAGCTTTAGAGTAGTGCCCAAAGAGTCCTTCATGTAGGTATAAACAGCCATTTAATGAAATAATTAATTTTTGAAGAATTTTGAAAACGGAAAATCTTAAAAAGGACCCGGTATCTTGTCTTGCTCAAGAAAAATCCACCCGGCAGCAAGTGGTTAAAGGGAGGATTAAAGGTACATGTAGTCTTGTTTGGTTCAGCAATATTCTTTTTGGGAATCAATATGATTCTCATCGCCTTATGGGGCGACATTGTATAATTAGATAGACCTGAATAATTTCTGTTTTAGTTAACATTTCTTGGTTTTATGATCGCTTTTTGTGGGAATGAGAGTTGATGGAAATAAAAGGATATGCTTTAATGCCATCTCCTTGGTGTCACAGATTTTGAATGATTAATTTTTTTTCATTGGCAGTCTGTCAGTCAGAAGTCCATCAAGTACAGTGCCACGCCAGCGTTGGCCTTTGGTTTGGCGTGCGGTGTACTAGCAGTGGCCACCGTCATGGTCGTTGCTGTCATCCTGGTGCGTAGGAAGACACGGCGTGTCCCCGTCAACCATGGCTTCACCGAGATCGATCCCAACATGACCGTAGAGCAACGGCACATAGCGGCCATGCAAGCTAATGGCTATGAAAACCCTACTTACAAGTACTTTGAGATGCAGTAGGAAGCTGCCTACAACCCAATCTCTTTAACAAAAAAATAAAAATAAAAAAAAAGTCTCAAAGCCGTAGGAAAGCTGTAGTTGAAAGGCCGCTTTTCAAATTGTGATTTTTGCAGTTTTATCTGATTTTATCCCATCTTTTTAAATCTCCGTTATCTCGCTCTACAGCACTTATAGAAAACATAGATCTTGTCGTCTTTCCTCCAGTTTTGTCTTGATTTTTTTTTTTATTTGAAACAGATCAGTATGGCAGATCTTAGATGTAACAAAAGTTGAAATGAGATAAAGAATGAGTGATCTGTTTTGGGTAAAAATGAAACAACCAGGTTTCTTTTTGCTTGGTATCTATCAGTGTTTTTAAAATCCCTATAAATATACCAGCGGTTCAAAGTGACAATAATATAAGTCGTGCTGTACTTTTTGTATCTCAATCGTAAATAATATCAGTATTGTTAAGACGTGTGTGTGTGTCGTCGTATTCATATTTCAAACTTTGAATAAGAATTGTGTCGAGCAGATAAATGATTTAAGTGTAGGCACCGCACGGTAACCGTCAGTAATAAATTCTGGATTGATGCATGCTTCTGCGACTTCGTAACAGCTTATACATATCAGTAATCGTTAGTACTTTTTGTATTTTACCGTCCTATTGTATAAAATCCTGTGTGGCAAAAACTTTCAAAAGACACAAGGGAAAAAGGGATCCAATGTGGACAATGTCTGTCTGGGTTGATGTAGATAGAGGGTACATGTTGTGTGCAGATTAGAACGCAGCTGTATTGTCGATGAATTATCAAATGTTGGTACAACTCAGTTTTTCTGAAGGCAAGCTTATCAATGGGTTTGTGTGCATACATGTACATCCATGGAATGACCACTGTATTGAGACTGACTGGGTTCAAGTAGGCTCACTTTCTTTCCTGGGATGAATCATAATTATGATATAAGAGTAGTACTGGTGTTGGTTTCTTGATATACAGGGTAGAGCAGCAAAGACCTTTTCCAGCTGTGAACAGTTATTGTATAAGATCTCAAGAAGTTGGAGAAAAACACTGTCACAACCACGAGGTGCATGCCAATCTGGACCAAACTATGAGCTTATGTTCTAAGTTCTCGGATAAGTTGCCATTCTTTTAGAGAGTGTAGAGTATGATCGTGACAGTTGAAGCCAAGTGTGGAAATTGGCCTGTGTCCGTATGTTGTGACTGTGGTTAGCAATGACATGTACATCTATGGAAGCCTGTGAACTAGACCTGCCAACATGCCGTACTCCTTCCTGGAGCCAGGCATTACTACACAATAGATTAGAAATAGATTTAAAATAGAAATCAACTGAAGGCTCATTTAAATACTTCTTCATCTATTGTGTAGTAATGCCTGACCTCGGGAAGGAGTACGCCTAGGTTGGCAGGTCTGGTAAGCTAGCTGCTTAAAGCCAATTCCCACAGATGTACGCATTATTGCAAGCCATAGCCACAAGAGTAAGACCTGACCTAGGTTCTCACGTGCATGGGAAGGAAGTGACTTCTTCAAAACTGGTAGGCACGCTGATTCCACTGAGCAACATTTGCCTGTGTTAAGCAGGTTTATGCGCTAAAAGCTGCAAGCCGTTAATCCCTTTGTCATGTCTTAGACATGCGTATTATTAACAAGAATGAATGTGGTTAGTTTGGTCACAGCTGGAAATTGGTCAAATGTGTACATTAGTGAAAAGGATTGCACTCAAACCATGTGCACTTCATGTAGTTGTGAATCTTAGATTAGCTGTATCACTTGCACCCTAGGTTGAGAGTTAGGCATTGGTTGATAGCCAATCTCATTGTTGTCATTGTAAAATGATCAGTCCATATTAGAGACAGGTACAATGTAGTCAGTGCTGCTCTGTGTAGTGTCAATTGTTAACAGATGTCCGTATTCTACCAATTATAACTCATTAAGAGAAACAATTAGACCAAGTAATTCCTGTTGACATTCTTTGGGTGGATATTGTCAGTAATCATAATGAGTAATAATTCTTTGAGAATTGGTTTTCAACTCGGCATTCGTATAATTGTTTAAGGTGTAATTTTGACAAAAAAAGATATTTATTCAAAACTGTTTTCTTAATAAAAATGCTAAATTGTATTCGTTAATGGGAAAACTAAATTTCATGTAAACTCTTTGTTTACAAATAGCCTACATCTCGTGTTAGCAAAATTTGTATTCAGGTAATACGTTTTAGACTTCAGGCATAATGGAAAAATTTCTTTACGTAAGCAACGTGTTTGTGTAATTTCATTACCTTTCAATCATGTACCAAATGTTTGATTTTCAAATGGGCAATATTTCAACCAATGTAACCCACCACCTGTATCAATAATTCCACCTGACATTTAATTATGAGTAACTCACAGTTTTTTTTCCTAGTGTTTTCCTTTTTGATGTTTCATTTGATACAAGGCCAAACATATTTTGCATATCGTAAATTGAGAAATCAACATAAACTGATGTATCTTTTTGTTGTCTAATCCACACTGGTCACTGTCCCATTGAACACGATTTCACCACAAATTTGTCATAGTTACTGTGATCTCATCACTAACCCAAATGCCATTATTATAAAAAAAACCTGATCTTTTTGCAGCCGTTTTTTTACTAACATGACTACGACACAACCCTTTCATTTTTGTTTCCAGACCATACATATCCAAATTTGTCAGCATCAATTTCACAGAGTGAAACACTTGTCCTCTCAAGTGTAAGATGGACAGGTGAATTTTTGTTCAGGTTACAATTCTAAAAGGGTTACGGCCTAATGATTTGAAAGCAGTATTTTTATAGTTGAATGTTTGCTTGTTTCAGATGTTAATAATCATTTTTTTGTTACTGTACAGAATTTATATTGCTTTTAGGAAAACTGCATTTTTATGTTTCATTTTTTTGGCATCATGATTCTTTGTGTGTGTATTCAACAATTTCCTCTGAAAAAAAAAATTTGATGCAGGGACAAAAATGTAAAATTAGAGCCTGACAGTTTTTGCAGATGATTTGAATTTTTCAGTTTTTTTCCTGAAAAGGCTGTCTGATGCAAAGTTACTTCTTTGTCATTGGATGTCAAGAAAATAATTTCTTCATATTTTCATGTATTCACATTGAATCATTTAGGATTGTGTGTATTTCAGAGTTCAGTTCTAACTGCAAGATCCATAATGCTTTCTGGTAGTCCTCACTAGTATCATAACTCCATCTTCAACTCTGAAGGGCTTTAGTCAAAGTTCTATGGTTGCCACAGTCGTCTCCATTTGGCATCATTTTGCTCGGACTTGATTTGACAATATCTGGCAACTTTCACAAGTTGAAAACTCATGTTAGAGAAAACAGTATTTTGACTTGACTGCTTAACTGTGCCAGCAAATAGCATTCATATGGTGTTCAGCTTCAACATTGGGCCAACTTGACCCAGTAAGAGTTACACAAATCTAATGTAGCATATCAACCATTAACTGCACAGACAGTGTTATGGATTCATCTTCTCTATATTCCATGGAAAATAATCCTACATGTGCACCTGTAACTCTGCAGTCATGTAATAAAGCTTCAATGTCACCCCAGTCAGAAGTGTGTCAAAAATCTCTATATTTGTTTGTGTTTGTGTTGTGCACAGATAACAGATAGTGATGACTCCAGTGATTTTTTTCAGGCTTGGGAATCTCTGAACTCCGGGACCTACAAGGCACACCTTGGGTGTTGCCATTCACTGTTACTGTGGTCATCCTGGTCAAACGGGTACCTGCCTGAAGCAGTTAGCAGATTACTGCATCCCTTGTCGAGTGCAGCTTGTCGCTTGCTTCTTAGAGAGATTAGAGGTCACAACCTAGTGATCCCTATAATGGTCATGCAGATGAAGTGGGAGAGTTCAAGGCATCACAAGAGCCCCCCCCCCAGGAAAGCACACACAGAAATTCACAGATACTTCTATCTCTTGTGATTTGCAGCATTCAAGAGTTGCTGCATGTATTGTAGACGATTAAAGACCCTCCTCGTGACTTCTGTACATGTACAATTTAAGTGACATGTAAGACACTACCATTAGATGCAGGAACCTGGCACGTCATTCAAATCAAGAAGTTTTGCATGACATATCCATTTCTTCTTATAGCCAACAGTGCCGGAGACAAAATACTAATTAGGCCATCCAAACAGCTTCAGACAATGCTGCTGTCTTTGAAGAAGAATGCCGTGTTATTACATGTACAGTGTACTTTCTTGAACATTGACTCTAGATTTCACCACCCCCAAAACTTGTCAGTTCAGAGTTCACTGTTTTAATGCAACAAAACTAGATATGGTTGCCTCTTGGCAAACACTTTTGAACACATGGTCTTAAACATTTCAACTTACACTGCAGTCTCTACAACAAAAGCCTTACAGTGTACATGTACATGTATGTAATCAACAGACGATAAAACATCACAGACACATTGTAATTGAAACTTGATAAAGCAGGTTGAAAATGTAAACTGCAATATCATGGACTTATCTTGCAGCATCAACTGTACATATGACAAAGCTTCAATCAACTTTCTTTCTTTGGTATTTGTGTTGGTTTGTTATTCGTTCTGTTTTGCTTGTTGCTCATGTAGACGAAACATGTCACTGCTAGACAAGTACACCTGGCCAACTATTAAACTTGAAACAACAATACAGTTGGCAAACAATTTTCCGTCTAACAAATTTATTAACATCTAAAAGGGATTGGCATGCAAATAACAGGTACACTGCGCAGCACTGAACTTGGTGATCTCATGGATGTTTATATGCTTCTGATGATTAAAACCATCACACGAGGCATATATAGGAACACAGTGATAACATTTGAAAAGGCTCAAGAATATCCAAAAATTATTTGATATGAACTGATTTGATGAACATAGAAATGTGCTTCGTATGTACCACAGTATACAGAGTGACATAATAGGGAATTGTATCGTCCACGTTTTCTTTGTTTTGCAACAACACTGGACAAATAAAAGGCAATTGCCAATTCAAAATAAACAAATGCTCCTACTCATCTGTACATTGGACCAATAGTCAGGTAGTTAATCAGATCATCACAGGTACATGTATGCATGTTAAATATACCCCTGCCCAGAGAGGTACATGTATGTATGTACTTAGAATGATTTGTACAATCATGGAGGAAAGACATCGAAGGCATTTGAAATGCAGGGGCTACATGTATATGTAAAACATCTGGCTAATTTCCACTTTCTGGCATGTCTGGCATGGCCGGTATGTCCATAGCCAGAGTGCAGCGAATGCTTGCTACGCACCACCTGTTTCCACCTGTTTCCCAACCATAAGTTATTTTTGTAGTTATTTTAGAAATAAATAGCCAAGTTGTGTTTTATTTGGATCATTTTATTACAAAAAGGTTCACAGAACGTTATTTTATGAGATCTCATGACCACTCCTTGTGATGAAACAGCGCAGTTTGTTTTTCGTGAACTGTCCTGTCGTGGTCAACATGTTATTGGCCAGTCTTAGCCAAATTCGTACATAGACTTTGAAAACTGATATTTTGGAGTGACAAAATAAAATTATAAATATTGCATGGATAACGGAAAAGTGAATCAAAGTATTTCAAAAATTATTCGTGACAGCAAATATCTAATGTTAGATACTTTTTCTCACTATTTTCTGTTCATTGCGATAAGTTGTAGTTTAATTGTAAAGGAAACATCACAAATATGGCTAGGATATTTCTGGCCCCACTTGTCTGGCTAAGCTGCAGGCAGTAATCAGGCATTTTTGGAATGTTTACTATTGTTCGTCTAACCAGATTCCGATCATAGAGTTGTAACTCCTTCCTTCTTTTCCTCCATGGTAAAATGTCCTATAGATCCTTCCTGGAAGGTAATAGCCTTTTGTGGATGCAGTACATGGACACAGTACACCGCATTGTAATTGAATATCAATACTCTTGATGGGGTTGTAAAATCCTACGAAACAAATACATATCACTTGTACGTTATTTCACAAGGTGCGAAAATGTTTTCTCACTTGTGTGAAAGGGGAAACCTTGTGAAACAAATACATTCATTCATATTTCACAAGGTGTGAATATCTTTCCCTATTTGTGTGAAAAGAAGAGAAAATCTTTTCCCACTGTGGAAAAAAATTTGTCACATTTTGTGAAATAAAAATGAACGCCCAAGGAAGGGAAAAGGTGTGAAGACAATTTCCCATTGCCACATTAAGTTTCAACTGCAATGTACTGTATGTGTAGTTTTCATCAATCTCTTATGTATCCTCTCATGCTGCCATCTGCCTTGAAGACTGGAGAAACTCTTCCAGCAATAACGACATCCATAAGGCTTCTCACCAGTGTGTGACCTGACATGAGCACGAAAGTTCTCCTTTGTATTGAATTCCTGTTGACAGAGGCTGCAGGTAAGTCGAACGTTGCTCCACGGTTTCTCAAAAGTTGTCTGATGACTATCACCAGTGCTTCGTCTATGAATGCGTTCATGCTGCAAGCGGCTCTGCACTGTCCCAAATATCTTAGGGCATAGGCGACACTTGTATGACTTGGTGAGTTTGGTGTCAGCAGTGGGATCTCTCAAAACGGGCATACAGAAAGCCTGATGCTGCCTGAATACTTGCTTATCAGGGAACACTTCCCCACAGGGACATGCCTTGATGTGTCTGTGACTGGTGTCCATGTGCTGAAGTAAGTTACTGGAATCTTGAAAGACTTCCCCACAGACACGGCAGCTACCTTCTGCCCAACTCGCCCTCTTATGCATCTCAACATGCTCCGTAAGCTCCTCACCGCTCCCAAACCGAAGCAAGCACAGGAAGCACATGAAGATATTTCCTGGTTGGCCGTCTGTGGCTGCATGTCCATTACTGAGCTTCATGTCCGATGTAGACAGGCAGTTCACAAGGTGTCTATGTAGCATTCCAAGGGGTACCAGCATGTTGCACTTGGAGCACTGCCTCAAACTTGTACCTTCGGCTGGTTCAGGAGTCAGGTTGGGGTGCAGCAAAGGCTCTTGTTTTGGCAACGGTTGTTCATGCTCTGGTTGAGTTGATTCATCAGGGTCTTGACGCTGCTGTTGTTGCTGCGGCTGCATAGCACATTGCACCTGTGGATAGGATCCATCAATGTTTTGACGACTTAATTATTCAATACATGTACCAATGTAAAATGAATTTTATCAATATGAATTATTATTATTGCCAATTAATCTCCCTATTTGAGTTCAAGATTTACTGCAATGATGAAGGACATTATGCAATATGTCTTGTGTTGCTGAGTACACACACACGTACATGTACATGTGCAAGCATGTGGCCTAGAGACCAAGTTCTTTTTTTATTGGACTTTTCAACTCAAACACAAGGAAATACTTCTTGTGTTTTTTTTACCCCGCAAACACAAAATGGAAAAATCAACAGCTGTGGGTTTCAACTGTTTTGACATAGTTTAAGTTTACTGTGCATGCAGATATTAATCATGATAATATTATTAGATTTCCGATACAAGGACGAGTAATTATCAACCACGGTTACAACTATTTGCCTACCTGATGTTGCTTCTGAGGTCCATGTGGCATCCGATGCCCACGGTCAGTAACTTGTACATGCTGCTGGTAATGTTGATGAGGTTGTTGCTGTTGAAATGATTTCTTCAGTTTCTGCAGGACCTGTTGATGCTTCTCACTGTTCTGGCCATCACGCCTTTCTTTTGCTCCACCTTGGATCACTCTGTCCTCCATAGTTTCAACCTGTACGCAGCTCACCTGAATCTGTCAATTCTGCCACCTGTGATGTACGTGTACCACAGTGGTTAGAATTTTGAGAATTGAAGAGAGATGTAACCTCTTACAGACTACAGCCAACTGCAGTTGGATAACGCCTTCCAATCCAATTTAGTTTCCACTCTCCTGAAGGCCTCCTTGTGGTCTCCCTGATAGAGCATGCAGGAGGAATATCTACCAAGTGCCAAGTACACTGGCATGCATGGATGAACGACATTGAAAATGACTGCTACGTATCTTTCAAGCAAGTGCTTAATGTGTTATATGTATAATCAATGACTGAGGAAACAGTTGACAATCCAGTCTGACAGAGGTAAGGGCCTTAAGTGAGGTACTATATATTGTAATTTCCAAAGATTTCAAACCATAAAATGGGTAAATAAAGTCAGCGATTTCCTGCATCATACATGTACATGTCGGCTACATGGTACTTGCTCGGTATGCCATCTCAAGCCCTTTCAACACTTCATGCCATTAGCATATCACAGAACTTTCCACACACAGTTTGTTACTAGTGCGTATTACTGTTGGGTGAACGATCGCCTGATGGATCTCTCTGCGTGATAGCTCAATCAAATGTACAGTGTACATGTATGTGTATGGAATCTTTAACTCGACTTTCCTCTTTTGAAGCAACCTTTCCCAAGCATAAATTAGACAGATACAAGTATGGAAATTGGCTGATAGGAGAATGATCAACGAATCGTGCCACAACAACAAATGATATCAAC